GAATAACCCTCACTTGATTCCACAAAAACTATAACCACAGATCATAACCAGCAGAAGCTTACCTGTGGAGAGCAAGGATTAGTTTCCACTCAGTAGGATGGAACAGGATTGCAGAGCCACAACTTCATAGGTTCTAAAAATAATATGTTTATTAAAGTCAAAAGAAATCCATTTTGGATAGAAAAGGTTCCTGGAGTTAAGTAGCTTCTAAGGAAAAGAAAAAAATAACAAAATAGCCACATCTACTACATCTTGCCTGGAGAATGGCAAGATGCCTCCTCACTCTAGGAGAACAAAGGAAGAGAGACCCAGAAAAATGGAAACAGGCCACATGGTCTCTCCAGGGCAATAAAAATACCTTTAAAGAAGAAATTAGTCTTCCCTGAAAAGATCACATTGCTAAGTATTGAAAGGAGGAGAAGATAGTGGCATGTAGGATCAGTAAGACAACACCAGTTCTAAGCCCCTTCTTGAGACAGGCATTCAAAATTGAACTTGGTGCAGTGGGTTAAACCACTGAGCCATTGAGCTTGTTGACCAAAAGGTTGCAGGTTTGAATCCGGGGAGCGGCGTGAGCTTCTTCTGTTAGCCCCAGCTTCTGCCAACCTAGCAGTTTGAAAACATGCAAATATGAGTAGATCAATAGGTACTGCTCCGGCGGGAAGGTAACGGCGCTCCATGCAGTCATTCCGGCCACATGACCTTGGAGGTGTCTATGGACAATGCTGGCTCTTCGGCTTAGAAATGGAGATGAACACCAACCCCCAAGTCGGACACAACTGGACTTAATGTCAGGGGAAAACCTTACCTTCACCTACCTGCTAAAATCTCACAATGAGGTAACAAACAACACCTGCTGTCAGTCCCAGCTTCTGCCAACCTAGCAGTTCGAAAACATGCAAATGTGAGATTAATAGGTACTGTCTGGCAGGAATGTAACGGCTCTCCATGCAGTCATTCCAGCCACATGACCTTGGAGGTGTCTATTAGCTGTCTGTAAGGACATTACCCAAGGGACGCCTGGATGTTTGATGTGTTACCATTCTGTGGGAGGCTCCCGCAGGGGGAGCTGGAGTTGACAGAGGGAGCTCAAACCACTCTCCCTGGATTCGAACCACTGATCTATCACTCAGCACTCCTGCCAGCACAAGGGTTTAACCCATTGCACTACAGGGGCTCAAATTGGACAGTGTAGAGGTAACATGTCGTCTCTACAACTGGACAGTGTAGAGGAGACATAAGTTGCTCTTCTCTAGAGCGAAGGGGGAATGTCAGGCCTTCCTTCTGCATGCGCTTCCACCAAGGAGACGTATATAAAGATTTCTCTGCCAGTAGATTGTTCATCTCCTTCTCAGAAATATAAGATAGATAGGTAGGTAGGTAGTCTGGAAGTTGCCAGAGAGTGTTGTGGTGTTCCAGCACCCTTCCTGCATCAGAGGTGGTAACCATTGCATCCTGTTTTACATGGACATGTGTGCCTCTGTGCCTTCAAGTCATCTTATAGTTTCCCCATTGACTTTTTAAGGCAAGGAATCCTTAGAAGTAGTTTGTTCAACTGTGTTAAAAGAAACCTACCAAGAAAGCAAGGGATCTAGCACAGAACCTAGACTGTGTTCATGCCCCTCCTGACAAAGCTTTGGTTTCCAGAAATGCACAAATGGGACCTGCCATATAAATGCCACCTTCACTCCTCAGGTGTGTAGCAGCAGTTAAGATTTCTGCATAATGCTATAACCAGATCTGGGTGTGCTCTGGGTTGCTGTGAGTTTTTCAGGCTTTATAGTCATGGTCCAGAAGCATTCTCTCCTGAAGTTTCACCCACATCTATAGCAGGCATCATTAGAGATTGTGAGGTTCCTGCCATAGATGTGGGTGAAATGTCAGGAGAGAATGCTTCTGGAACATAGCCATACAGCCTGGAAAACTCACAGCAACCCAGTGATTCCCGCCATGAAAGCCTTTGACAATACACTGTGCGTTCTCTTTTGATGTATTTTCCATGCAGTTTTAAAAGCATTATTATTGCTAACCTCTCCAAGCAAACAAATGTGGATACATCTGTCACATGTTTCTCAGGCCCTTTTTATACTGCCATATAATCCAGATTATCAATCAGATAATCCACATTATTATTATTATTATTATTATTATTATTATTATTATTATCTTCATTTATATGCTGCTTTTTTCACTCCTGGGGAGGGGGGGGGGACTCAACGTAGTTTCCAACATATTCACGGCAAAATTCAATGAAAACATGAAAACTTAACATAAAAACAACAACAATATAAAACCATTAATTAAATCATAAAACATTAACTACATTAAAACATGGGATTAAAAACACATAAATACAAACATTAAAATCACATGATCCAAAAGCATGGTTCAGGCTGTTCCAGTATCAAATAATAATTGCACATAATCCGTGTTCATTTCTTGTCCTGCTTACTGCCCAAATGCTTGGTTCCACAGCCATGTTTTTGTTCTTCACTGCCATATAACCCAATTCAAAGCAAATAATCTATATTTTAGATGGGGCCTGAGAGGTCTTGTTTTGGCACCATTTCTAATGTGACACAAGGTCACTCCCTGATATATTAGATAGATTGACATGTTCCTGCCTGGGAAAATCCAGACACTGCATGCAAGAAGAGCAAAGTCAGACAATGCAAATACACATTTTTTTTAAAAAAAGCATTTTTATTTTATTGCGATCACACCTTACACTTAAGAAATTCAGGATCACAGGGACTACTTTTAAGAAACACAGTTCCTTCTTTTTCCAAAGCACTTCTAGGGTATAATTTGGAAATAAGCCTAAGGTGATATCCCAAGACTCTCTAATGGTATACAGTATATGCATTTGTAAACGGTTTACATGGTGGTTTCATTACAGTAAAACTAAACACACATTCTGGGTCACACCAGAGACAAAACCCTGCACAGAACCATTTATTTTAGTGGAAAGGCAGTTAACAGCTTGTCAAAGACAGATGAGAGGTTGTAACCAAAGTTGTAGAGAGACGTGTGTGCGTATAGTCAAATGAGTTAAACATTATGCAAGGCATCCCTCCTCTGCCCTTTATGACTTGTGAAATGGGCATTTCGTGTAATAGCAGACATTTTGAGACAGTGAAGAAATTAACAGCATATAGAGACGATTAATTATAACTCATTACTGTACAATTATTACATCTTGGATAAAAACAGTAGAATGAAACACCAAGATTATCCATGTTGCAAAAATCGTCTTCAAAATACTCCAATCTGGTGTGCCAGGAAAAACTGGAAGACTGTAAAACCTTTCAGGACTGAAAATGTATTTTAACTATATTCAAGTTTTTTTTAAAAAAAATACAAGATTTTTATACATGTGTATATAAAGCCATACTCCCAAACTCCAATAAAGCTAAATGCTTGGGTAGTTCTATGATGTTCATACCATACTTACCGTAGTGGCTGCTTGTATCTTGTTATGTATATCATCCATATCCAGGGCCACCAGTTGCTCCTTAAGCCTAATTGAGTGTTCTTATCTTAATCAGATGTGTAATGTAGACAGGTCTAGCCAGCACTCTTAAGGTTTCAGGCAGATGACTTCCTTGTTTCTTGTTGGAAACCGAACTTAATGCAAAGCATGCTGTCCACCATTATGGTGGAGCTCCCAGTGGCGCAATGGTTAAACCTTTGTGCCTACAGGACTGCTGACCGAAATGTCAGAGGTTTGAATCTAGGGTGAGTGGGGTGAGCTCCCAACTGTCAGCTCCAGCTCATCATACAGGGACATGAGAGAAGGATGGTAAAAGATCCGAGCGTCCCCTGGGCAACATCATTGCAGACAGTCAATCCTCTCACACCAGAAGCAACTTGCAGTTTCTCAAGTTGTTCCTGACTCAAAAAACAACAATATGCTATGGCACTTTTGCCAATAGTCCAAAACTATGATTAGATGGGGGCCTTCAATTACTGACATTTCAGGAGGTTGCTCTATCCTTTTCTTGTTTAGTAGTCCAAAATTGCAACACTTCTCTCCTTCTTGAATTATAGAGGCTGTCATCAGCACAGGCTTTCATCCTTCTCTGCATAGTTCATAGTTCAAAGCTGATGGGAGGGAGATTCGGCACCAATAAGATATAGGTGGGAGGAGGACAAACAGGCTTTCTGAAACATTAGAGGTGTTGGAAATGACATGACATCAAGTACTCTCATGTTGGGAGAGCAAGTACAATTGGCCCTCCTTATCCACAGGTTCTGCATTCACAAATTCAAGCAATTTGTGACTTGAAAAGATGAATTTGGAGAAAAAAAACCAAAACAAAATTTTATTTTATTGCATGTTGAACATTTTGCTGATGTGTAGGCATATCCTGCAGTAACCTCCCACCATTTCACAGATCTTCAGGATGTCAACATCATGGATTTGAGTGGTTTGCCATTTTATATAATGGATGCCATTTTACTATGCCATCATATCTAATGGAATTTGAGCCTCCACCAATTTTAGTATCTACAGGAGGGTGAGGCTGGAAACCATCCACAGTGAACCACTGTGATGGTATAGGAACAATAAACTGTTCCACAATAAATCAGGCCATTGGCTCACCTTAATCAGTTCACACTGACTGGAAGGAGCCCCGGTGGCACAATGGATTAAACCCTTGTGCTGGCAGGACTGCTGACCAGTTCGAATCCAGGGAGCGGGGTGAACTCCTGTCTGTCAGCTCCAGCTTCCATGCAGGGACATGAGAGAAGCCTCCCACAGGATGATAAAACATCTGGGTGTCCCCTAGCCACGTCCTTGCAGATGGCCAGTTCTCCCACACTAGAAGCAACTTGCTCAAGTCGGTCCTGACATGGAAAAAAAACTGGTAGAAGCTCTCCAATGTTGCCTTAAAATAGCAGGAAGTGAAGTTTTTGTAAGCAAAGAATAAGCTTTATCATTGACCTATGAACTCTCATTTTTAAAATTTGCATAGTCATGCATACATCCCATCAGGTCATCTGTTAGTGGCTGTCATGATGAATGTGCTCCTGGAACTCTCTTACTATTCCAACACATGGAAAATGAATTCTAACACGCTGAACTCCACAAAGAACAAGATTCCAGTTAAGTGCTTCATCTGTGGCCTATATCACAATCCATGCATTATTCAAGCTAAATACCAAAATAAATAGGACTTGGTCCCACACAAGTAATTAAGAACGTTGTATTACAATCGAAGGTTACAAAAGTGTAAAAAATGTCCAAAATCAGAAAAACAATAGTTCTACAGTTACCAACTCCACTCTTGAATCAACTAAGAGTTCGCAGAGTTCTTCTTTTCATACAGGATGTCCACAAGCTCTAGTTTCTTTGACCCCAACCAAGCTTTTGAGAAGAACACATGGATGGGAGCGAGGTTTCCACACGGTCTCCTTTTACGCCTTAAACATTGGCTTTAATCATACTAAAGTGAGCCATATGGATCCGGATCAATTCTGTTCTAAATGTAGCCTTCCCTTCTGATATGACTATATGTACTGAAACCAAGTACAGTCACTATAAAGTTTCGATTTAAATAAAACTTATCTGTGCTCCAGTGACACTAAGACTTCAGTTGAAGTGTGAATTCAGATGCCTCAAAAAATCCTCCTTGGATGTAAGAGATGGTGGGAAAACTTTCTGACAGAATTCACATATTTCAGGCTGATTGAGTTCTGGGTTTTCAGAAGCAAATGTCAATAAGTCACTGTCTTCAGAGTGATATGGTTTCCAGTGTGGCTGTAAGAAGTGGAATGAAAAGTCAGTGCTTTATATAAAGTACATGCTATTTTTCTCTCTCCACTGGCTAGAGAGTGTTTTGGTTTTGGTAATCATATAGCAAATATAGACATCCCAATATCCTTTTTGTAAATTGCCCTAAGGACATGCCAGTTGGATAATATACAAACATTGTAGAGCAAAATAGTAACAAAATACAGTAACTTAGTCTAATTGTTGAAGCTTTGCCCTTTATTTAAAGTCTCAAAGGAGCAATGAACACATACGGCTGAGTATTGTCGAAGGCTTTCATGGCCAGAATCACTGGGTTGTTGTAGGTTTTTTTGGGCTATATGGCCATGTTCTAGAGGCATTTTCTCCTGATGTTTTGCCTGCATCTATGGCAAGCATCCTCAGAGGTAGTGAAGTCACTATCTCTGAGGATGCTTGCCATAGATGCAGGCGAAACGTCAGGAGAAAATGCCTCTAGAACATGGCCATATAGCCTGAAAAAACCTACAACAACACATACGGCTGAATTTACCTACTAGCCCTAAATAGCATAGACTCACTAAATTGAGGAAAATTTGAGAAATCAACATTTATGGAAATTCCATCAATTCAAGGAACCTGCTCCAATTGAGTCTAACTGTTTGACCATAAAATATTTGTATTTTAAAAGTGCTTATCAACTAAGGCATTTCTTGGTCATAATTTAGCTCTGTACATACATATGTTATACTTTCTATTTCACTCTATGTCAAAATATGTTAAGGCTCTATCAGCTATAGGTCTCATATGGCACCCCTGTTTTAAATACATTAATATCTTAAATATACAGCAATAGTTTGGTTACTAACATAGTCTGCCAAGATAAGATTAGTTTAATTCATGGAGTCAGTATTTGATGAACCCTGTTGAAATCATACTATATATAATTTAGGAATTAAATGTACTTCCATAGGGTTTTCCCCCCTAGGATAGTTTGTTATTATTTCTTTCTGACTTTTAGTACTCAAGGGATAATTATTTATTATTTTGTTGCAATTCTTATTTTGTCAAACAAATGTGGATGGTTTGCTCAGTGTTTCAAAGATCTGGTCCTTTGATTTCTAAATGCAAGTCAGTACACATTTTGAAAGGCACTAAAATAGGGAAAAATAATCTGGGAAGAGGAGAAAAGGGCAGAAGGTGTGTGACAATTTTTCAGTTAGTTTAGTTTATGCGGCGACTTTATCTTAGGACAAATATCACAGTACTAAGTTGGGAAGGCAGACGAGCAAAGGAGATCTGAGGCTAGACAAAGCAAACTGTGTTCGGAAGTTTTTTTGATATGTGTCTGTAAGCACTTCATCTACAAGTCATTCATATATTTCAAACCCTTAAAAACTCTGATATGCAGCTATTCATTCAAAAGAATGACAAGTGCTTTAGAAGTTCATTCTCTGTCTAAATGATAGTTAATATTTGTCCAAAGGCTTCAGCCCACTTTGGGCTGTGGATGTTTTACTGTGGTCAGTCATCAATCCACACAAAACATAGGCTAATTAGATGTAATTACATCCAAGTTCTAAGAAGCAGACTACCTTTTGTTGGTGTAAATTGCTTCTGAAATGTGTCTAGGCACTGATGCATATTTTAACTATCACTACAGAAGTGTACTTTTAATTACTTATTTGCAACTCTGCCTTGATTTAAAGTGGCAGTTTTAATAACAATAATAGGAGACATGATTACATGGCTGTAATATCCGTGCCATTCTTGCTGTGTTTACTTGATTTAAGCACACACCAGCCAGAGGGACTAATCTTTAACCATTTTACTCACTGCATTTTATTCCAGAGTCAAGCTGCATTCTCACTTATCATGAGGTTAAATCATAGATTTCAGTGGGTCTTAGTTCTGAGTAGGCATATAAGGGATTTTACTGTAAATGTCTTGTGTATTTATTTACTTCATTTATACCCTGCCTTTCTCACCCTGGAGGGGGACTCAAGGCAGCTTACAACTCCAGCAAAATTCAATGCCATATATAAACATAACAATAAAAACAGATCCCATTTATTCAACTTCTATTGCAAGATTGTCTTGTTTAACAATGCATTTCTTCAGGATTTTTATTTTTACTATAGACCAATCTAGGATATTACATGGGGTTTTATTTTAGATCTATGTCGACAGTTGTGCCTTTTCACTGGATGGAGTTGTATGTATGCCCAAGGTCTGTATCATTATTTGAGTTTTCAACCATTTGATTATCTGCCTTTACCTGACAGATAAATCCAGTAAATAAAATTTCATACTACCACAACTTCCATGTTTTGAGATATTCAAGGAAACATAAAATAGCTTACAACTTAACCAACAAAATGACAACTCACTCATCATTAAAAGGAAAGGCCATCTTTAGTATTTTCTATTTCAGTAGCACACTATAACTCTTGAAAACAAACAAGCATGTCCTTAAACTGCAATTCACTGATTAACATGTACCCGTGCCAGCGACTAAATTAATGCTGTAGCTGATGCATGTAGCCTCAGTTATTCTCTCGCTTTTTCTTTTTAAAAAATGATGGCAGAATTTTCAATTGTCAGCCAAATGGTGAGGCCTAGTGGTGTAAAAGGAGTGTTATAACTCTAAAAGATCAATCATTATACATAAAAATGATTCCAAACAGAAAGAGATGTTGAAGTGTTTCGCTGAACTGGTACAACGCACATTCATTTTACAGCCATGCACAATTTCTCTCAAAATATTTCCTTTTCTCACCCTGAATCAATGTGATTGCTAAACCAGATCCTTGAATAACACAGACTACTTCAACGTCCTAATCTTTCATTTCAGTCTAGATTCTCATCTCATTCTACATTATCATTTTCAGTGGAACAGGTTTCTGTCCACGTGCTTAAGAAGCTGCAACCAAATTTTTCTATTCAGTGACTGCAAGAGCCAAATTTATTAAATCAATGGAGAGTCAGAGTGCTAATGACTTAATAGATGTCAATTACACTGCATTTATGTTTCTTCTCCTCATCTTTGTTAAGATGTGTAGTAAATACATGGCAGAATGCCTCTCTCTAGCCAGAGAAGTGGTGGTTGTGGAAGGACGATACACCAGGCAGGGAAATCAGTAATATAGACCTGCATTATATAGTTCATAAGGGCATATAAGCATCAGTGGAAGCCTCTACTGGCATGCTCATTTTGCTTCTCTCAGGGCCCTTCCACACAGGCATATAACCCAGAATATCAAGGCAGAAAATCCCACAATATCTGCCTTGAATTGGGTTATCTGAGTCCACACTGCCATATATCCCAGTTCAAAGCAGATAATGTGGGATTTTATTCAGCTGTGTGGAAGGGGCCCCTGTAACAGGGTCAGGTCCCTTTTCACATGCCCCAGGAAATCCTTATTTATAGCACATGGACCTCTCATATTTTTCCTACTGCTATTAAAAGAAAAGACTATGGATGCATCAAAAGAATCTCCTCAGGGAGAGTGGGCAGAATATAAATTTTATTATTATAATATATTTATTATTATATATTACATTCAAACTATTCACCCTTCTATTTTTCATTAACTGGACCTGATGTACTGAGGTGTGAATCCATGAACATGAACCCTCTATCTTCATACATTAGAAAGACATGCATATATTTAGAGAGCATGATGAAGGTAGCAAAATATTTAGGCAAACATATGCAGTCGTATATTTAATGGCTTCTAAAATCACATTGGCTTCTTCTGCCGAAGTTTCTGGATAAGACGCACAATTTTAATCAGAGGCCTTATGTTCTCCATTCCTTCCTGCATACAACTAACAAATATTGGAACTATTTTCAGTTGCCAGTTTTCTTTCCAAACGTAAACACTTAAAATATCAAGACTTCCTGGCTGCCACTGAATTGTAGTACTGGCCATTCACATTTCAGAATATGTACCCTCCTATGCGTCTTGTGATTTATTTCAAAAATATAAAATCTTCTAGCTTCATGCCTCAAACGCTGCGGCAGTTCAACACCAATTTTCCTGTACTTTTTAAGCTGCATATTTCTCTATCAACCTGCAATCGCATATCAGCTGTTTCACATGCTTTAATATACAATGCAGGGTGCCATCTATTGAGAAATGAATACACAGACTAGTTAAAAGAACAAGCAGGAGACATATTGGAGAAAAGGGAAAGTAACAAGTAATAGAGTGGATGCTTTGCAACACCACGGGAATCTTACTAGTAATAGAAGAAATAGTTTAATTTGTTTTGATCCAACCCAATTCAGAATCTGATGGGATGCAAAACAAAAACTGGTTAGTCATCAAATAATTCAATGCAGAAAGCCAAAGCCTAGTATGGAAAATAAACTAGGTCTGGCATGAAATATGTAATCAGTTGTGTCTACCAATGTTGAGCTCCTTATTTCATTTCAGAATAAAACTGAATAAAGGCAAAATTAAGAATTTAAGCAAATGAGTTTAAAACTAAGTGCCAGTTTGTGAAATAAAGTAAAATGTGGAAGTGTACCTTACAAAATCCTTAAATTGTAGACAAAAAGCCATGACACCAAAAAAAAATAGTGCTGGTTCTTCATGAGAACACTCCATATACTTTCAAAAGTCACACCTACTTGCCCATTAATTCATTTGTTTTTAGCAGGGTTAGTAATTTTAAATGACAGGAATGCTATTGCAAATATATTGAGGGATTTCCTAAACATATCTGTTTACAGAAATAACTGATGACTTAGAAATGTAAGATTATATATTTTTAATATTGTCAGATCTTAGATTAAATGTATCACTTCATTCTGTAACTGCAGAAAATACTAGATCACCTTTTTTCCAAGGTGAAAAGATTAACTGGATTAAAGCAATCTGAAATCCATACACAGTGCATACACACTTAATCAGCTGGAAGTCATAAGCACTATCTGTTTATAGATGTACCAACATGTGAAGATTAAATTCAAGTTAAAATATGTCCGGACTGAAACTGCCATTTGTACTTATTGATTTTATGTGTCACAAACTCTACAAGTCAAATAACTTTTTTGCTGTTTGATTTAAATGTTTCTTTGCTAAGGCAGGAGTTCTGACATTGCCTTGGACCCTAAAGGCATGAAATGGAGACGGATCTCCAGTTGTAGACTGCACCTGATGAAGTAGACAACTTAAGACCATGAAATCCCATGCTACCAAATTCTTAGTCTCAAAAGTGGTGAGGATTATGAGCAGGGTTATGGATGAACTGAACTATGCACTTTATAAGCTTTTAAAATGTGTATACTGATATATTTTATTATTGCTTGGTGTTAATTGTTTTTAACTGTTTAATTTTTATTGTTAGTACTGGTTTTTAGCGGCATTGAACTTTTGCTGGAATTGTAAGCTGCCTTGAGCCCCTTCAGGTGAGAATGACAGGGTAAAATGAAGTTAAATAAATAAATAAATAAATAAAGGTGATATAAGATTCATTTGCATATATAGCTATAGTGGTGACAGTGCTGGATTAAATCTAAACTGGCTAGACTTCAAACTTCATCATCATGAAACTCGTTATGCACTACAGGATTTAGTAAAGCAGAATGCTGCCCTATTCCAACTTATATTTAGTTCACTCCTACCTATTCTGAATGGAAGCAATTTTTAAATGTTTACAATTTTTCAAATAAGGTAAAGGTAAAGGTTTCCCCTGACAGTAAGTCTAGTCATGTCCGACTCTGGGGGGTAGTACTCATCTCCATTTTTAAGTCGAAGAGCCGGCGTTCTCCGTAGACACCTCCAAGGTCATGTGGCCAGCATGACTAGACGGCCTTCTTGTAGAAACGGTACCTATTGATCTACTCACACTTGCATGTTTTCAAAGTGCTAGATTGGCAGAAGCTGGGCCTAACAGCGGGAGTTCACCATGTCCCACAGATTTGTACCACTGACCTTTTGGTCAGCAAGTTCAGCAGCTCAGCAGTTTAACCAGCTGCGCCACCAGAGGGTACCAATTTTAATTGGAGAAATGACAAAAAACTGAATTTTTGTTCTTTACCACTGATCTATAGAATGTGGGAAGAGATCCACATGTCCCAGCCAAATCATACTGTGTGTAAAGCAATGTGTAAGGATAATGCACTCTCAGAAATTCTCACATACAAAGCAAGGATAAATGAATTAGAAATTGAGAGGGAAGGAAGGAAGAATATGTGATTTAGTAGGTTTTTTTTGAGGGGGTGTGCAGGGAAAAAATTGCCTTATTCCCTTATCATTAGCTAGGCTAGATGGCTTTCATGTGAATTGTGGGACAAAATATCTGAAGGCCCCAAATTCTTTATTCTTGTTTTAAAGCGTGCTATCTCAGCAAATAAAGGCTCAAAACCGGGAATATGAACTACAGTTCCAGAGTAAATAGCCAGTTAAAATGGTGGCACAATGAGAGTTAGACACTTGGGCTAATGGAAATGTTTTGAATTAGTATCGTAGATATTAAGCAAAGTGATATGTTTGGTATCTTGAATTTGCATGCTGAATTTTACAGCTTGCAGAATAATAATGCACTAATATAAAATTATTGCTATTCTATTAAAAAAGATACCTGTTGAGGTGATCCAGCTGTTACTTCATTTGCTTCTAAGACAGGAAAGTTTATTTCAGAGTCATCTTGTTTTGAGAAGGCCGTGGTTCCATAGCTGTATAAAAAAGGTACTTGAAAACACAGAGTTTTGTCCACTGGAGTCTGGATGGGTGCATTTGCTTGGGCTGAGGCTTTGGTTATGTTGGTAGATGCTGGATTATGCACTGCTGGGGTGGCAGAGTGAGGGCCAAGCTCCTCAAACCTGTTACATTTCATCTCACTGAAGTTCACGCCCTGGTCTGCAAGGTCCCTGTTCACCTGAAGTACGGCTTCAGTCCCTGGGATACATGGGATTGGAGGGGTATCTGTGGTACTCTCTAAGAAAGTGGTGTCCCTCTCTGTAGGGGGGAACTTCACATTCAGCTTTGACAGCGATTCCACTGAGTTTTCTTCTTCATCTTGGCCAATTTCTCTCACTGTGATGGATGTGAAGTGTGGAATGTCTGTGTTTATGCCCCTTTTCACCCAAGGACTGCATACATCATCTGCTTGTTCATCAGTGCACTGGATAGGCTTGGAGAATGCAATTTCTGTAAAAGATAGATCCCAAGGAAATGGTTAAAGGGTATACAAAATGGGCTGGGACACACACGGTGCTTGGTGTGTTGTTGGGCTACATCTGCTAGCATCTCCTACTACTTAGGGTTGCTGGGAGTTGCAGTCTAAATAACTATAGAATTCCCACCTCGATCCAATACACATAGCACCAAACAAATGAAAGCATCAACCAATTGTATATATAAAATGGAAGTTGTGCCACTCCCCAAAGCTTGGCACGTCTTATCATCACATGATGACAGGACTCTTCAATGAAAAACCATTGATTTCTCATTTTCTGGAGCTCTTATATAGAACCAGAGATACATGCTTTTGTGCCTCCATCACCTAATCCTTTTTTTTAATAGTCCAAGGATAATGAAAAAATGGTCCTTCAGGTGCTGCTGTATTCTAGACATCATTTTTCATCACTTTGTATGCTGGTTAGGAGTGATGAGAGCTGTAATCCAACAACACTTGGGAAACCTTATGTTCTCTAGTCCTGAATTAGGTAACCACTTTTTCAAGGTTGGGTTTTAATATAAATACAGAAAGATCATAACCCTACTCCATTCAGGAGAGATGTGTGGGAGAGACCTCTTATGAGTAGTTCTTTAGCAACATCTAATGAAGTGCTAGTGGTTAAGGAATGATAAATAATTGGTTTACGTTTTTTGGGCTGAGGGGATTACAGCTCAAAATATCTGGAGGCCAAAGGGCACTGGGACTGTAGTGCAGCTGGCAGGGAGTCAGCTGCATTAAGATCACTACTGACCGAAAGGTCAGGAGTTCAAAGCCAGCCCAGGTTGGAGTGCCAGCCCGGGTCAGAGTGAGTGTCCGACCAATTTGCTGTCGACCTTTGCAGCCCGAAAGACAGTTGTATCTGTCAAGTAAGAAATTTAGGTACCGCCTATCATAAATGTAACTAATTTAAGATGCCATAAAAATCTCCAGCAAGCCTGCAAAGAATGAGGAAGTACTTCATCAGTGTCACAAATGGACGGTGAAGCAACAGCTCCCCTGGTGGCCAGAATATACTCATGAAAAGTTGGAATGTTAAATTGCCTCTGTGTCTGTCTATATATGTTGTGTGTCTATGGCATTGAATGTTTGCCATGTATATGTACACTGTAATCCGCCTTGAGTCCCCTGCGGGGTGAGAAGGGCGGAATATAAATACTGTAAATAAATAAATAAATAAATAAATAAATATCTGTTCCTTGTCTAGAAATTGTAATCAGTTTTATTATCTTTGCAGTGTTCAGTACTAAAATGGCTGCAAGATGCCCCTTTTTATGCCTCTTCTACTGCAGACTGGATACCAACATGAAGACAGAATAGTTATGACGATGGCCGTCCTCTGAAGCAGAGATACAAAAGGGAGAAGATTTGCTTGGCAGCCATTTCAGCTTGCAAGGCTGCAAAAACAATCCAGTCCAACCCATTGGCATTACTAGCATGGGTGCCAGCCTGTGCAGTAACCTACAGTATCACCTTCATGGACCTCCTCCTGTACCAGACAATGCTACAATATTGTAGCTAAAATACAAGGAAGTTGGACCAAATCAGTAGCTACAATAAACAGCAGTAACAAAAACACGAATGCTTGCATGTAGCATGTGAGACGAAACCACATGTTCTGAAGCATCTTTCTATTTGGGAAATAATGAAAACTAACTGAAGTACATGAACATCAGAAGGTTCAAAAAGTAAATCAGCATAGAATTTTAGCCTGGTAGGTATATTGATATAGTACATGTAAGCTGTGTTCACAAAACATGGTTGTGTGGTTAAATCTAGCTGAAAGGATTTAAAAAATGAAAATAACAAATTTATGTTGAACTACTAAACAAAAGTTTTATAGACGGTCATTTTGGAGTCACCCCTTCTGATGGTCTCACTAGGTGTGGTAAGTACCCCCCTCATAACACTTAATGGCCCAATCCAAGAATATATTTATTTAAACTGGTCAAAATGATATTTCATCCTATAATCCCCAAAAGCCCTATCAAGTTTGGTCAATATTTACATAAGTGGGACTGAGTGCAAAGCATTTAACAGGCTTTCACATAGTCAAGCACATAACTGTATTATAGAATGAACTGAGGCCAAATTTGGTTTTTTGCTAGGCACAGAATATAGCCAACCAAAAGTTAAAACCCTATAAGCCCTCACAACAACTTGAAAGTCTTAATTTATGTATGCAACAGAGTGAAATATCTATGTAAGTCATTGCTAAACTGCAATAGCTTCTAAAGTCACATGTAAACATTTTGATATCAGAAGCTATGTGCACTAGTTGGTAAATAGTAGAAAACATATTACAACAGAAATTAATCAAATTAAGCAGTTGGGACCCATGACTGTGAGTTTCCTATTATCAGTTACTGGTGTGGCATTATGGATTAGATAGTCCACAGTCTTATCTAACAGACATTATCTTACTGATTGATAGAAGGAAAGGATTTGAAAGAGATTAAGTAGTATTCATCTCCAAACCAAAATACAGTAATTGTTTACACGGATGCAATTCATTCAGAATATTATTGTGCAAGTGCCACTGAAAGGAATGAACAGTACAGATTGGTACTGTTGCCTTTCTTATTCCAACCAAAATTGAACATTTCAGGTTGTGCTCTGTGACCATAGCGTTATGCTTCGAGATGTGTCTCTTGAAGGCTGCAAAACACATCGCAGGCACAAAAAGGCTCTTTGATATGGATGCTTTCCATACCATGAGTAACACCAGATTTACAGATCTCAATATATGTTTGCTTTTAGCAAAATAACTACAGGTCAGCACTACTCATCATGTTTTTTTTCCTTTTCTTGCATGAATACAATTCCTGTACAGTAAGTGGGGCAGGGTGAGTGTGACTACAGCATTCGCTTGCGAAGTGAAGCAAGAATTCTTACTGTGCTAAAAACAGAGCTTGCAAAAATTCATTTCTGGAACTTCAATTCCCAGAAGCTTTGGTCCACAAGTAATGATTCCAAGTACTGCTTGGAGGTAGAAAGATCAAGACAGATAGAGCAAGCAGTAGCTTCCTTCCTAGTAAGTTAAATCTCACATATGTTTTAGTTTCATGTAGGATAAAAGTCATGTGGGATTATTCCATAATTCCATAGAGCACTACATGACACAATAGAAAGGGGCAAGACACAAATAAGTGGCACAGTAACACAACAACAACAACAACAACAACAACAACGCATAGCATTTAGTTGAAAGAGCAAGATTACGCAAGAAGATATGCAGTAAAACAATACCAGTTGCAGGTTCTCTTCGTATGTTAAATTTACTCAGCTGGTCTGTCTGTGCTCTTGCTAATGTGCGGATGCGGTAAAATTCTTCCTTCATGCTCCAGAAAACAGTCTCCAGTTCATCCCTAAAAATGAAGGATTTTAAATGTAAAGTATTGTATTATTCTATATTCAAAAACATGGTCATGTTAGTCTCTACTATTGTAGGTGGTTTTCTTAAACCAGTTCCCTAGCAAACATATTACTGGGAGGGAACTCTGACACCATATCAGAAGCCAGACTCGGGGACAAAAAGGAATGATATTGGAAATGTGTGATGTGCTCTTTCAATTTTTAAAGCAATAATTTATTCCTGGGGGAAGAAGGGTTCAGCAATTTTCTGCTGTAATGTCTTTCCAAACCAATACTGCAATTGTCTTATTCAGATAGAGTAACAAAGTAGATGAATCTGTACTGGGCTAATGATGTTTATAGATAAATTTTGCTTTACAGTTTGCTTTTAAGTTTAATAAAAATATTAAGAAATTTGAGAACAGAGCTCTATGTCACATCTGTGTTGTTACTCAGTATTAGAAGCACAACGAATCTTGAGAACTTTCCTGCCATTCACCCTTGAAAGCTATTAGGAGAGTCTTTCCTCCCGTCAATACCACACGATTATACTGGGCATCATCAACAGACATGCTTAGTTAAATTCTTCAAACTATGCAGTGTTTAAAGGTATCGGAGTGGAAATGATAGTAGTGTATATGGCATGGTTCTCAGGATCTGAACCTTCACAATGTAAGAGGGCAAAAACAATTTCCACAATGATGGAACTTCTCTAATTTGAATGATGGCATGGAGGGAGAAGTCAGCTCAAAGCTATGCCATTGTGAGACTCTGGTAGGGATAAGAATGATGATGATGTTGATGGATTTGTTACCCATCTCTCCTTGTGGCTCAAGGCCAGATACAACATGGTTAAAACGCAGATAAAATATAACACTGCTAAAATACACAGGAAAAAGATTGACAATACCAATAAAATGTTAGATTAAAATTCATGATTAAAACTGACTGACTAGGCCTGCTGGAAGAGATAGATCTTAAGTTGTGTCTTAAATTCTGACAGCTCATTTAGCTGTTGGAGCTCTTCTGGCAGGTCGTTCCACAGTCTTGGGGCGGCCAATGAAAAGGTCCTCTGGGTGACGCTTGCCAGTCAGGTTCTGGTTGGTTGGAGTAGCCACTCCCCACAGTACCTCAGTTTTTGAGGTGGCTTGTACAGGAGAAGGCGATACTGTAGGTGTGATGTGCTCACTCCTGGATGTTCCTGTAACCAATCTGGCTTGTACGAATTGGATTTTCCAAACTTGATACAGAGGTAGCCCAGTATAAAGCACATTGCAGAAGTCCAACCTTGAGGTTACCAGTGCATGCAGTGCCATCTTTAGGTCCTCCAACTTTAGGAAGAGGCACACTTACTGGACACATGAATGCTACAGGGAATGGAGAGTCATCCACCTTTCCATTCTGACTATATGTTTTCTCTTCAATTTAAATTACAGTAACTTCAGAATGTGAACCATACTTTCTTGTACAATCCACATCAGACACTTGGGTGCTCTGAGGAGTGTCTACTCCAATCAGACAGAACCCAAGTAACAACTGTCCCCCAGAGGACTTTTTCATTGGCCGCCCCATGATTGTGGAATGACCTGCCAGAAGAATTGACAGCTAAATGAACTGTCACAATTTAAAAGAGAATTAAAGACCCTGTCAATTATAAACTATGAATTTTTAAAATGTCATTTATTTGGTATAAATGATTTTAATGTGTTTTAATATTTGGTCTATGTCATATAACATATGTGTTTTAATTGTTTTATATTTTTATCTGTGTTTTTAAATTATGTTGTATCCTGCCTCAAGCCTTGAGGAGAGAAGAGTAAGGAATAATAATAATAATAATAACAATAATGCAATTTATGAAACAGGCTTAAATAGCCATTCATTTGGACGTTTCGTGGTGGAATTTATAACACAACTATCCCCCATTCCCCCAAACAGCATTCAAGGACAACAGGTTTATCATTGAATTCAATCTTTGGGTGCTTAAACACGATTTTCTGGCATCATATTTAATAACTGAACATTGGAGAAGACCAAAGAAGAGCAACAAAGCATTTGTGATTTTAAAAACTGGATCGCAAGGTTAAACAAGAAATAATTGCCAAAAACAAGTCCCCCTTTTAAAAAAGAAAAAGTGATATACCTTTCATAAACAGCTGCACCAAAGGGCCCTGAAGATAAATCCTGCCTAGATGAAGAAGGTTTTTCATTCCTTGCCTTTAAAAAAGATCAAAGGTATGAAAGCAAGGATGTTTGTGTTATAGCAACCTAACAAAATTCCTTTATGTGAATTAATATATTAAACAGGTAAATATAGTAACAACTTTGCAGTGGCACTACGCTTGCCTCTTTCCTTTTTTACTGAATTAAAACAAAATATTAAAATGGTTTGGAAATTGAATATACCACTTCTTCATTTAACACGCCTAAAGTATTTAGATGCTTGATGCTGCGTTAACTGGGAAGTGCCAGTCATGCTGTAATAGATTAACCAAACTGCTTATACATTTGTAATTTTGGAAACTCCAATAGTTCATACCTTTTAAATACGTTTTCTGTAGTTTTTCAGTAATTCATTTCTATTTAGTATGAGCTTCTATTATTCAATCCTTTTCCACATATTTTAGCTGTGTATTATATTTTCTACAGCCCTTTTCAAACATATGCTGACAGATAGAAGAACTAATGTTGATCGATCTATATATTTATTGTATGCATATAGACACATTTCCCTTCTAGTAGAAAATTACCATTAAAACTGTGTGTCACATTCTTCCCTAAACATTTTCAACCAGGCATGAAAAGCAGTTATTATATTTGAGTACCACCTTGTGGATTAGCCCAGTATTACATGGGCGTTTTATTGTAAAGCCAACAGCTAAAGTTGTTAACAATAATCTACCTTTTGTGTGGCTTTCAAAATGTAAAAAGTTGCCTAGCAAGTGCAGTCACCATGGTTTTAGAAGGAAAAGCAGGCAAGGCAGGTTGTGCATTTGCTTTCTGAAATGGTGTTCACAACCACAAGGTAAGAAGACCACTTGGCATTTACTCTTTACAAAATATACACAACCAAGTAATATTGACACCCAAAAGATAGCTGCACCCAACTGGGGTTGGAGGGGGGAAAAGTATGCATATTCTCAAGAGCACAAAGTGCATTTAATTTATGGTCTATGAAACTAATTTATATTCTATGACATCAAGATCCCTCCTACAAATGATATTATGTGAGATGCAGAGAAAGAGAGAGATTTAGATATTTGCAAATATTTGAATCCCTCTTTTAAGGTTTTTACCTCTTTTTCATATCTTGCTACTTGCATATAATTTTGTGCTTCATTTATTTCTTTTAGCTGCTTTTTCAGGTGCCTTATTTCATCTTCTTTGATGGTGATAATAGATTCAAATTTCTTTTCCTTTAAATTATTCTCCTCTTCAGTTTGCTTTAATTTTACACTCTCACTCTCCAATTGTTCCTAAAACAAGGGAGGAAAACAAAACAGTTGGTCGAGACTCTGAGTTTATGGAATGCTTTTACAGAATAGACTGTTGTTGGCTAAATTAAACATTGCAATCTGTGAAAAAGCTGTGAGAAAGGCAAATTTCATGTTAGGGATCATTAAGAAAGATAAGGAACAACCCTCCCTTCAAATCCTACTAATATCAAAATGCTTTTACATAAATCTATGCTGCAAAAATGATAGGAATTTGATATACAGTTCTAGATCCTATTTTGTCCGACTGGAGAATGCATGGAAAAGGGCAACTAAAGGATGACTGAGTTTAAGTAAGGAGAAATTATGATGCCAGGGATTTGTTAGTTCAGAATATATGGAGGGAAGTGAATATAGAAGTATATAAAATAATACATGATGCAGAGTAAACAAATCTAGGTTTATCTAACATGAAAACCAGATTGAAGATATTTCCCCACACATTACACAATGTGAAGTATGGAATTATCCACCACATTTGGCAATTGGCATCACATAATGGCTTTCTAAAAAAGGGATATTCAAAATTATGTGGAAGGGAGGCAAGGATGTCAAATGGGTGCTAGATCTAACATAGATTACCTCCAGGATCAAAGGCAGCATGCTTCTGAACATCAATGGCTTGGAAACATAAGCCGGAGGATGTTACTGTCCTCTTATCATGCTTCTGAGTTGCCTAGAACAGAGTTGTCCACTTCAAGAGAAAGGATACAGGTCTATGCTGGCATTTGGCAAGATCCAATCTGGTTTCCCTTAAAATTGCTAAATAAAATCAATCTTGCACTCATTACCATCATGTTAGGCTGAAATAATTAAAAACCATTTACTGCAACATGCAATTATGTCTCCCTATGGACCATTATTCAAAACAACCTTGTACTGTTTTGGATATATAAAAGGCTCCCGCCAATGGCACTAAAATTAGTACTTTTAAATGCAGGAGATGCTGTCTCATTTAATTTATGTACTCTATTCACTAATATTAATTAGTTTCCGAATGTGCTAGAATCAAGGGGAAGTGCATTTAAAGGAGGTGACAATAGTCTTCAAAGATTGTAATTTCTAGAACAAAAATGCAGCTTTTTAGCAATTAATAATTTAGGATTATGCAAGGCTCAAGCTATAAAGCTTGAAAGATTAAAAAACTGATTTTTTTAAAAAAAGACTACCTCTCTCCTATATTGTGAAATTATTACTAATATACTGCATATCATGAATGTCTGTACAAAAAATGGAGATACCTCTCCAGCAATGAAAAAAAAGGTAGCAAAAGTTATAATTATACAAGAAGCAACAAAATTGTCCATTTTCGAGAGACAAAGATTCCAGCTTAAATAGATGCAAGGCTGCCATCATTTTACTGTGAAAAGAACAGTCATGAAGCCAGTGTGTCTGATTAAAATCACACTGGATAGACTGACAGATACAGACGTATTACAGAGTAAATGGGAAATGACAATGACAATGCCAAGTCAAAATTTCTAGCTTCTGCAAAGCAACAGGAGACATTCAACGATAGCCAAATACATCTGAAACAAACTTGTCATTTTTCATATTTTCATTTTAGGGGGAAAAAACAATTATTGAGATTGCAGTTGCAATCCTATACTCGTTTACCGGCTCAGTGGAACCTAATTCTGGCACTGTAGGGTATATTTCAGAGGAAAGAACTGGTAAAACTACCTGTGAGTACTCCTTGCCTAAGAAAACCTTATGAAACTCATGAGGTCACCAAAAGTTGACAGGTGACTTGAAGGCACATACAGAATCACAGTGTAAAATGAGACTGATATTGATTGCAACTTGTTTTGTATTCCGCAACTATTGTTGCATTTTATTGATCTTAATTAGGGAGGTCTTATGATGTTTATGTTAGTTGTTGTTGCTTTGTGTTGTTGTCTTTGCACTTTTTGTATATTCTGTGTTTGCACCTCTGAGAGCTTTGTGAGCCACCCCAAGACCCTCCAGGACATGGTAGCGGGGTATAAATAAAGTTGTTATTATTGTTATTGTTATTGTTATTATTATTACTATTACTACTACTACTATGGCGGAAAAGCAGCCTTTCATTCATTGCTGCTACCAAAAGTATGGTGACTGGCCTATCTGAAATGCATCACAATCCTAAGGGTAGAAATAGGGCTGTTTTATTTATTTCATTGTATTTATTTGAGGCATTTTATCCCACTTTTCACCAGTTGGACCCAAGGCGGTTTACAACACCATTAAAACATCATCCTAATGTAAGCAATTCATAAAATGTTGACCTACTGGCATTTCCACTCAGCGTTTTTTTAAAAACTCTGCTCAATTACTCTCTTGTTTCTCTCATGTCGCTTTTGTGAGTTTGGCAGGACTACAGTAACTATACTCCCCACTTTGGAAAAAAAAATAAAGTAAGAACCTAGGGTTTACATGGGGGAGAACACACTGCTGTTCATCCCCATACCACAATTCAGTGTTACCACTTAAAACAAGGACAAATTGATGCCTCCCGCCTGCCAGAAGTACACATAGACCTTGCATGTTCTCCAAACGTGGCTTAAAATATTCAAATTTTAAAAATACCAAGAACCTCGGGTTGCACAAATTCATAGAGAATACAGAATTCCATGTTTGTATGCTTAAAGGTCAGAAAGCAGACTTCCATCATAAGACAGACTTAAAAACACAAACATGTGACTTTCTTTATTATTATATATTCACATGCATTTGGGGGAGGGGGGTATTGCCCAGAGAAGATTTATTACAGATTTATTATAGATAGAGTAAGACAAAATGGGGAGCAGTCAAATCACTCTGGGGATAAACTGTGATGTAGCTAGAAGGAAAGAATCTATTTTGACTCTCTAAGAAAAAGAGCGTATTAGGACTATACTTTGTTCACATTTGTCTATTAAGTAAATAAATAGCTGGAGAGAATGCAGGAGGGGAGAAGTAGAAGAAAGCAAATCAGAGTAGTGAACAATGCTCAGATAACTTGCTTCTTAAAATTACAATCAACTGACCATTAAATGTCTCCTATAAGTGAACACAGACTTTGTTCAAAAGTAGGCTTCTTTGACCACAAAACATTCCCTTCTCCTAGCCCAATGTTTTACCGTTAATCCTTTTATTTCCTTTGTTTACTGATACTTTTTCCCTTTTCCTTGTTATTTGCTAGACTGCTTGAGTCTATCCATATAAATGCTAAAGATCCAATGTATTATTACCACCTGTACACAAACTAACTGAATATTCAATAGGAAATAAAGAGTAAACAAAATTAACAGAGAAAAGGTGCATTTCAGAGCAATCTATGGATTTTTTAAAGAAAAAAAAGGTCAAAAGTTAGTGCTGATAATTCTGGAGAGATGACAAACAAAAAGAAATTTGGGTGTGGAGCCAAAGACTGGATAGAATTGGAGCGTGTATGAGAAAATGACGCTGGGGCTAAAATAGTAGAAGCAACACAAAGCAGAAATGGGACGTAAAACAAAAAGGAAAAAGAGGCAGCCATATATCTTCTTGTTTCAGAAACCTTGACCCATTTAAATGTCTTTCACATCCTCAAATGATTCTGTCCTTTCTTCCAGAATTCTCCTTTGTGATGCTGTTTTTCTCTTTTTTCAATTTCTTCCTGAAAGCCCATTGGGAAGATTTTATGCCCAACGCTCTAAGTAGGATAATTTTCGAATGAAACTGGAATGAAATACAAGTAACTGAATGCTATTTTCTCCCTTGCTTCTATCTTTTCCTGTCCTTACATTGCCTTTTTACTGTTCAATTTTAGACTGTGTGATTCTCATGGTAGGGCTCAATCTTTACTTTTTTTGGTTCTTCTTATGCACTATGCAAATTGAAGACCATACAAAACAGCAGCATGAAAGAGAGATTTACTTGAAGTGCAAAGTACAACTGAACACAGAGATGGCTCAAATGCAAGAGAAAAAAAGCAGTCAAGAGCAGATAGTACAGCACTACCAAGTATTTTGATGTCATATATATTCAGTTTGTGTTTTCTCCAGGGTTTAGGATCAATTCAAGCATTACACGGTGACAACAAAACTCCACAGCATCTGCGTTGTCCTGACAAGAGTAGCTGTCTCTAAATACCTGTTCGGTCCATTCCCAATTTATATTTGAGATTTTGTTGTACCCCAGGCCTGGAAACACCTATGACCACAGCACCACATAAGAGTCCAGAGTATAAGCGAATAGTTTATTGTAAAAACACATAAAATTATATTAAAAAATCAGAAATAAAGAAATAAGAGGCATAACCCAAAACAAGTTTAGTAAAAGGTGACAACCAAACAGTAATTCAAATATCTCTTACAGAGCTAAAGGAAACACAATCTGAGAGTAGCCAAAAATCACAAGTACAGCATAGCCCACAAGCAAGAGGTATACTTAGTAAAACTTGAGCAGGAATACAAAAACAAGAATATAGAACACTTCCAGGATACTTAAATCCAAAACCAAGGCTTACTTGAAACAAGAACTCAGGCCTAGCTTATTACTTGAATGCTATGTTGCCTTAGGCAAACAACTAGCTATTTAATAGGCACCCATGAAATCATTCATTTTTCCATGAAGTTTTTTTCTACAACTTTTGCACATAATCGCTCCGACCGGCACTGCCTATTTTCTGCTCTGATCTGTAAACTAAGACTTTTGTTGATTTCTACAGCTGCAGGTGTGGAAATCCTGGGAACCTTCCATATCATTTAGCTCTTCACCCAACTCTTTATCTAATGTTGCAGTTTCTGGCTCCTCTGACTGGCCTTGAAACCCTGCACTTTCTTAGTCAGGTTTCTCACTGAATCTTGAATCTACATTACTTTGTGCCCCAGCCACAGGAAATCCCACAGTCCTCTCTAAATCATTAGTGACTCCAGCAGCCTCAGGTTGCAGTACAACAGATTTATTCTTAAAAATGTAATGTATAATGTGTTCCTAAGATCTTTGGTAGATTGCAGTTGGACTTAGGCTATGCACAGAGTACATTCACTGAAATACAGATGATTATTAAAGTCAAGTAATGATGTACCTAAGTCTTATTAATTTCAGTTGGTCTTCTCAAGGCATAATTCAGCCTGAGTCCAAACCAAGTATTGGACTGAAGATCAACTTGTTAAACTTACTAGAAACAGACTTTTTTGAGACCATAAATGTAGATGATCTCTATTTTGTTCAGTTTCTAGCAGTTATCTATACTATAATGTCTTTTGAAAAGCCTAACAATCTATTTTTCCAATGGGAGAGCAACAAATGTGGCATAAAACCACCATCTATGTTTCAGTAATATGAACCCTGAGAAGTTAAAGGAACACATTTTCAAACTCTAAGCTGTCCATCCAAGTAAAATGTCACTTTTCTATTCTCAAGCCGGAAAAGAAAAGTATACAGGCTAAAGATGATGGCTCTAAATAAGTGCTTCTTAAGTTTCTTGATGTGGAAGACACGTTTTCTCTATGTTCTGGAGACTTGCTTGTGTCCACAAATGGACACAAACAACTTCTTTCTTTCCTGGCCACCTGCTAGAAATCACAAATCTATCAGCTCCCAGGTTATCACTGGTTCATAGGCTGTCACTTTGAGTACCACTGTTATAAATAGTTTATACCAGGGGTCCTCAAACTAAGGCCCGGGGGCCGGATGAGGCCCTCCAAGGTCATTTACCTGGCCCTCGCTCAGGGTCAACCTAAGTCTGAAACGACTTGAAAGCACATAACAACAACAACAACAATCCTATCTCATCAGCCAAAAGCAGGCCCACATTTCCCATTGAAATACTAATAAGTTTATATTTGTTAACATTATTCCTCATTTTAATTATTGAACTGTTTTTAAGTGTTTATTACACTACAAATAAGATATGTGAAGCGTGCACAGGAATTCATGTTTTATTTTTCAAATTATAATCCGGCCCTCCAACAGTTAGAGGGACTGTGACCTGGCCCTCTGCTTAAAACGTTTGTGGACCCCTGGTTTACACCATAACCTTTCTATTTCAATTCAAGGTTTGGTAAATTCCACAAGATATAGGTAGATCACATTTTATTCTAGTGCTATGCAAAGTGATGGTCTATGGACCAATAGCAGTTGCTGAGCCATTCACAACCAAGTAGCATCAGGTAAGTTTCCAGGAAAGAAAACTTTAGTCTGTACACTTGTAGCTAATGGGCAAAACCATTCCCATTAGCTACAAAGGGATTGGGGGAGGGGGGGATAAATGCCAGATCCCTAGATCTGATAGTCTTCCCTAAATTCATCAAGAATGTGACCCCTATTTTAAAATTTCATTCACACAAACAGCTTTGACAACATTAAATCTTTCAAAGCTTTTGAGAATTTCAAAGAAAGATTACAGCTATTTTCAAACAAAAATATTGCTATGAGTCTCAAAATACTGAATAGCAGAGGCTCCCATGCATGCACCTCCCCATGTGCATACACACACACACATTCTGTAGTTTATATACCATATTTCTTCAATTGTAAGACACTGATTTTATGATGAACCCTAATTTCAGGTCAGCTAGTTTAGCAGCTCAGCACTATAACCCACTGTGCCACCAGAGGCTCCATTAACTTTGACCAGGGACCACTTTGACCAGGGACTACTCTCCAACATTAGTACCAAAAGGGTTACAAATAAATTTTTGGTCAACTTTAGATTTGGTTTGGTTATTAGAAGTGCTGATTCAGAAAACTGCATTGGATAGACCACATCAGCTCTAGTTTCTGATACAGAACACATGCCATCAAGTAGTCATCATCTGCTCGTCCAATATATTTAATAAGCCTCAGCACTATAAGAAGGTTTTGTGAGACCAGATGCTCTCGTTGCAACGGTAGAGTAACATAGAGGTCGCGGAATCAGATTTCAGTTCTTGTGGACCACAGGTTGGGAACCACTGGTGTAAATAGAATCAATCAGGATATTGCATGGATAGCTGGAAGTACAGCAACAGCCTTGAGTCTGTAAAACCTGAGCAGGGCTGTTGAAGATAGGGTGACTTGTTTTCATATGTATGGACCACTCATGACACATTTCTAGGAGTGTACACTAGAACTAATGTGAATCTCTTCCAGCTTCTAAGACACCTAAGCATGAGAAGAACTAAACAGACCCACTGAACAGTTTAGTCTTAATAATGAATAAATATGAAAGAAAAAAATGCTCACTGTTCAGTGATATTATCATAGTAAGTTAGCTCAGTGGCTGTGTGTCTGGAAATGAAAGACAAATATGGCATCAGGAGATGAGACCACTGATTTTAGTACCAACCCCCTCTGAAATCAGTAGCCTCCTACTCTAATGGGATTTTCTGTTTTATTTTCAGTTTCACATTTGTGAAGTGGCAATTGTAAATGTTGTTGAGAGGGAGAGGCTGTTTTGCTCTCAAATCAGATTTCTACAACATAATTACCAACTGTCACTAATTTGACAAAGTAGGTACATTGATTAAAAGATTGCTGAACTGTCAGAAATGCAATGTTCCTAGCTCAATTTCAATAGACAGATTTTGCAATCCTCTCCAAATGTAGCTAAGTGTAAGATCTACAGAAATACAAAACAACAACAACAAAAACAAACAAACAAACCCTAGCAAAATGATTCTCAACTAAAGAAAAGAAGTATACAATACAGCTCTGTTGCTGAAGCCTGGATCTTGTGCTGAGCTTTCCTTAAAAAGGGAGATTGTCTTGGAATCTTGCAATGCAGACTCTTGGAAGAAGAGTCCAATGAAACAACACCAGAATTGGTTTGGATACTGCGGGATGGCATACAGACACTTTTTTTTTCGTGTCAGGAGCAACTTGAGAAACTACAAGTTGCTTCTGGTGTGAGAGAATTGGCCGTCTGCAATTGGTTTGGATGCTGTGGGATGGCATACAGACACTTTTTTTCATGTCAGAAACCACCTGACAAACTGAAAGTCACTTCTGTTGTGAGAGAATTGGCTGTCTGCAAGGACGTTGCCCAGGGGACAGCCAGATATTCTGATGTTTTATCATCCTTGTGGGAGGCTTCTCTCATGTCCCCCCATGAGGAGCTGGAACTGACAAAGGAAGCTCATCCACGCTCTCTCTGGATTCAAACCTCTAACATGTCAGTCTTCAGTCCTGCCGGCACAAGGGTTTAACCCTTTGTGCCACTGGGGGCTCCTATACAGATACTGAAAATGTATGACTAAGCACCCTTCCACATAGTCCCTATATCCCAGGATCTGATTTTATGAGTCCACATTGCCAGATAATTTGGGATAAACAGAAAAAACCTGGGATCATATCCTGGGGAATAGGGCATGTCTGGACTACCTATAGAGCAAATTTGAGCAAAATGGACTTGCATACTGTGTATACAAAGACATTTATGTATAAAGACATTTGTCTGCATAAGAAAATATTAATTTTCTGTTAATTCAGAGAAGTTTATCAATAGCTAGTAAACAACACTAGGAAAGAGGAACAAGTAGGAATCTGGATGCTTTTAAATAGATTTATAATGATGACAATGCTTCATATAATGAAGCCATGAACTTTATTTTAAAAGAGATATATATGTTTTCGGTTTTACGGGGAATTGTATGTAAAAGCAACACTCTGGATAACAACATGCAATTTTAAACCACACAAACATGTAAACATAAAAAAGAGCAGAGTTTTCCCCAACATCCCAGTTCTATGACTAATCTTGCTTCCAGGTTGTACTATTATTAAAAGCTTATTCTTAATTATTTAAAAACAAATTTTTAATTGAACTGAAATGCATAGTGTGATGAATGATAAACACCTAAAGCAAAGCAAGAGCGCCTAAAAAAACCTTGCATCATTCATCTTTATATCAGGCAGTTTGTACCCACGCTATCATCCCAGTTCCTCCCACAGTAGTTCTGCATGTTTGCTGCAATGAGATCTCTCATGTTTTAGACACGTAGCAAACTTCAACACTTTGGTTAAAAAGGATAACATGGAAATCCTACTGGGTCACCAAGGTATGCACAGCTTGATATTTGATTTCCGATCATGCTTATTAATAGAAAGGGAAACAATAATGAGCATCCACTGTCTATATTTGGATATAATTTAATCTCATGGGCTCTGGACTCACATATTCCTATCTAGTGCTTTCTTTTTCCTATGCAGCTGGTCAGAATTTCAGACGTTTTTGCCTCATTCTTTGATTAACTCCAGTTAACATGTCATCTGGCTCTTACATTGCAGTTAGTCTTCATTACGCTTTATGGAAACTAGACAGCTTTGCAATTCATGGTTTGACATTAGTGCATTTAAAGGATCCCCTAGTTAAGATTATGGTAATAACACTTTTAGGGGCTTAGATAAAACAACCATCTGTAGTTAATAAGTTTGTAGGAAATCTTGTTGTTTTTTGAAAAGTTGAATTAGTACTACTACTAATAATAAAACTTTATTTATAGACTACCCTATCTTCCCGAAGGGACTCAGGGCGGTTTCCAACATATATGGCAAAAATTAAATATTACTAATTATATTACTATTACCATAAATTATAATTTATGGCATTGAATTATTGCCTATGCTGTAAGCCACCTTGAGTCCCCTTTGGGGTCGAGAAAGGTAGGATATAAATATAGTAAGTAAATAAATATATAAATGTTTATTTATTTACACTCTTCTTGCATGGTACCCAAGATATGGGTGCAGGAGCACTGGAAGCAACTGAAAAGTCAGATTGCAACTTCTGGACATTTCCAGAAACACACTTTAGATTTTTGCTTGGTCAAAGAAGACCAGGGTGTCTGAAGGAACTAAGGGTCTGCAAAATCAATCATAGAGCAGTCTCTGGACCAAATTTTACTCATTCCTGGACTATCATGAGGTTTAAGTAGAGATGTTAAGTGTGCTCTCATTCACGTTTTTAAAACCCGTGCCCTGTAAAAAGTATCATACCTTTAAAAGCTTCTCTCTCTGCATTGCCAGCTTCAACTTTTCACGGAGCTGATCACAATCTAAGTTCGGTAAAGTGCCATTTCTTCTTGTTTCGCTATCTTCTGGTACTGTGACTTTGGTGCCAGAAGGATGGTCTAGAAAATATTTGAACAAATAAACCAACTTACCAGGATGCAATCTGTTTTTACAGGAGTATTTGCTCTAGGATTAAAGCACACTTAACTGTGAATTGCATTACAGCAGTGTTTCTCAACCTGGGGGTTGGGACCCTGGGGGGGGTCGCGAGGGGGTGTCAGAGGGGTTGCCAAAGACCATCAGAAAACACAGTATTTTCTGTTTGTCATGAGTGTTCTGTGTGGGAAGTTTGGCCTAATTCTATCATCAGTGGGATTCAAGGGGCTCTTTGACTGTAGGTGAACTATAAATCCCAGCAACTACAACTCCCAAATGTCGAGGTCTATTTCCTCCCGAACTCTACCAGTGTTCACATTTGGGCATATTGAATATTCGTGCCAAGTTTGGTCCAGATCTATCATTGTTTGAGTCCATTTTGCTCTCTGGATGTAGGTGAACTACACTCCAAAACTCAAGGTCAATGCCCACCAAATCCTTCCAGTATTTTCTGTTGGTCAGGGGAGTTCTGTGTGCCAAGTTTGGTTCAATTCCATTGTTGTTGGAGTTCAGAATGCTCTTTACTTGTAGGTGAACTATAAATCCTAGCAACTACAACTCCCAAATGACAAAATCAATCCTCTGCTACCCCACCAGTATTCAAATTTGGGCATATCAGGTATTTGTGCCAAATTTGGTCCAGTGAATGAAAAGACATCCTGCATATCAGATGTTTGCATCATGATTCATAACAGTAGCAAAACTGCAGTTATGAAGTAGCAATGAAAATAATTTTATGGTTGGGGGTCACCACAACATGAGGAACTGTATTAAGGGGTCGCGGCATTAGGAAGGTTGAGAAACACTGCATTACAGCCTTAAGATATATCATCTAGGGACAGAAAAATGCTGAAGTGAAGTGCTTTTTTCATGTATAATTTCCCCCAAATTATCTAAACCCTTCATTTGTCACGAAAGCTTTCAAAGCTCTACTAACTTCTTTGTCAGGCAAAAAATGTTAAAAATCATGCCTGATGATAATTATACAAGATCAGAATTATACTAGATGAAGAAGCCAGGGGAGTTTCTGCATTTTGGTTGGCCAATAAACGTATGGGTCTTTTGTGAATTATGAATTTTGCTTCATTTCATGCCATGGCCAATGCAGCTACCCTTGAATATGTTTCCTTCATTCCTTGTTCTTCTTTTCTCTTCAATGTCAACTTCCCCACCCTTTATTTTTAGCTTGTCGCACTTCCCTTTTCTCTATTCATCTGTCCTCCCCCATCTGCCCCCACATAGCCTCCTTGCCTGGAAGCAGGATTTAATGAGAGCCATGGGGTATAAATTCAGAACCAATATATGAAGTGACAGCAATTTTGAAAAAGCATCTGCAAATATATGCAGTTTGCTTTTTCCTCATGACTGAGTAATCACAACCAGCAGCCATTAATTGCTTCTCAAGTCAGAGGTTAGGTTTCCAAATCTAGGTCCTGAGGCAAGGCTTGTTGATATTGCTCTCTTGGGAACTCCTCCCAGAATCCCCCAAGTTGAGGGGAGTCTGGGAGTTGTAGTAAAATAGTCCTTTTTATGAATTCTGCTCTGAACCTTAGTAAAGAATTGACTTACTTTTGAAGGAAAGCAAGAGATCAGGACATACCAAGGAAACAATCCTTCCTTTCAACATCTGGCTTCTAATATTTTTCTCAGTCCAAACTGTTGCTCCAGTTTGAGGTATGCTTTGAGCTCCTCCTAACTTCCCAATTACTACACTAATGGTCAAAGTCCTTTAGTTACATAAACAACCTGAAGAAACTCAAGACAACAAATACATGGTCCCCAAAAAGTATTTAAGGATAACACTATGTAACAAAATTTTAAACATTTTCTGTTCCTGGTATAAAAGTGCTATTTCCTGTTTAATTGTGCAGTACTTACTTTTAAAGTAGTTGTTATGTTCGAGAAACTTTGTTTTTGTGGCTACCACAAACTATGTTGAATTCGTTGAGACTCTAAACTATAGCAAAATGTGCTGCAGGATGTCCCACAAAAACAAGGTTTTGGCAGTTTAATAAACTTTATCCATGTATTTATTTATTTATTTATTTATTTCGGTTGCTTCTACCCCGCCCTTCTCACCCCGAAGGGGACTCAGGGCGGCTTACAAAAGCAAGGCACAATTCGATGCCCACATCACATAACAGCAATAAAACAAATAACATCAATTAACAATTAACAACAATTCTTGCATTACAACCATAAAACCAATAAAACCAATACAAACCAATTTCTCCTCATTGACGGTCAGCGTTCGCTATCTCATAGTTCAAATTCCAATTCCACAATTGTCAGTCCTGTCAGTCCTATTCGTCTGGTTGTCCTTATCTAGTTGTCAGATTGCCCAAAGGCCTGGTCCCACAACCACGTCTTTACTTTCCTCCTGAAGGAGAGGAGGGATGTTGATGCCCTAATTTCCCCCGGGAGTGAGTTCCACAGGTGAGGGGCCACCACTGAGAAGGCCCTGCTCCTCGTCCCCACCAACTTCACTTGTTTATGATGGATTTCCAATTAGGAAATGATATTTATAACTGAGGAACAAAATATATGTTACATAGTGTAATTCTTTCTCTTCAAGCAAGCTACATAGCCTCCAAAGTGTGTTTAAAAAAAAATATCTGGTACAGTTAAAGAAAAGTGTGCACAATGTGCATGCACACATAGAAGTATGCTTCAAATATCTTTGTAGTACATTTCAAAACCATAACGGACTGCTACTCTATGGTCTAAAGTAAACTAATCAACTTTATGAATGGAGGGGCAAGCTGAATAGAAGGTGGAAAGAACAGAATGGAGCAGCAAACGGCACTGACCTCCCCACTCTAACATAGCCATCCACCCAAACTTGCACATTCCAATCCTACGCTGGCATCAAGGAACCCATCTGGAAGTGTTCAGGAAGCCCAGTTTAGTACCAAACCTATCCTTAATTTCTAATGTAAAGTGAAGGATTAACATCCTCTTAATGTTCCCCCAGCAGCAGCAAGAGTATCCCTCTGGGCAGCTAAACCAGGCAATTCCAACTGGATGGCCCTCTACAAGGGTCTTCCTCCAGGGGCAAACCAAGAATGGGCAACGTGGAAGTCCAGGAACAGACTCAGAAGTGGAGTGGGCAGATCAAAAGACAACCTGGCAAAATGGCAATACCTAGAAGAATGCGGAGCAGAACAAAGAACTCTGCATCTGTATGACTGCTTACAATGCCCAGAGGAGGAATTGTTTAAAGCTACAGACAATGCGGTTGCTGTTGCCTGTTTTGGTCTAAAATGATTTAGCCCAGTGGTTCTCAACCTGGGGTCCCCAGATGTTTCTGGCCTACAACTCCCAGAAATCCCAGCCAGTTTACCAGCTGTTAGGATTTCTGGGAGTTGAAGGCCAAAAACATCTGGGGACCCCAGGTTGAGAACCATTGATTTAGCCGCTTGTGCTCCCTCTATTTTATCAGTTTTTTGCTTATTTATGACACAAAATTTAAAAAAATGTAAAGTGAAGTCACAATGCATAATCTCTACCCTCATTGCAAACCTGGAAAAATCAAACATAGCTACATCTAATTAGAACCCACCAGGACCTGCCATTTGATCCACCATGTCCAACTAAGCAAACTGATGCATAGACAAGTGGTGGCAGCTTTAACTGTCCACTTGGCCTCAATATCCTGAAGACACTTGTCTGATCTGGTTAATATTTGGAAGGAAGACTGCCAGTGAATACCACGTGATATGTCAAAAGAAGATCTAGCAAAACCACTTCTGAAATTTCCTATGCCTAAAAAACCCTACAAAATTCATTGAGTCACCATAAGTTGACAAGGTTAAAGCAGTTACTGCATTTTTTCTACAGTATATTCCAGAACTGAAACCACTAGAAACCCAATTTGTAGACTGGTCAACAGCAGAGTACTTTTTCTTCTTTTGTATTTCAGCATAGTCACTCTTGGGATTGAAACATGAATCCCACAATCTCAATGGAATTAGTTAACAATGAGTCCTGTTGGCTCTTGTAGTTTGTTGCTGTGGCATAACATTTGTTCAAATGAATGCTTAAAAAGGGAGGTTGGTGCTGTTTAGTGTTGGGAAAATCCAGAGGCATTTGAATATTTATTATTATTATTATTATATTATTATTATTATTATTGTTGTTGTTGTTATTTATACCCCCATTTTTCTCTCCACAAGGAGACTCAAAGAGGCTTTTATTAAAAGCATTTCAACACAGTTCAAAATCTACAAATATACAAAGAAATATACAAACATTAAAACATAACTGAATATAGTATTTCAAAATTCAGTTAAATCTATAAAAACATATTCAAAACTAAACACTATTTCTGGCTTAACGCCCACCCTCCAACAAAACAGAACACTTACCTCTACTGGCAGCCAACTGTGATTTGAGTTTTGCAGTGATGTTTGTTAGAAATGTGATTTTTTCCTTTTGTTCATTTATTTGCTTTTCATAGCTGTCTGTCTGCAAAGACAAATTCATCAGAACTAATTTGTGTTGTTGAGAGGTTTTATCTTTGATAAGTACAGAACATGCACTTACCATAGCATCAGCAACCACGCTTAATGTTCAGAAATCCATATGGTACGATACTTGACTTAGTCGTGACAACGAGCAATTTAAATGTGAACTTCACTACCATACAAGATGTAGAAATGCCTTAAAGTGTGAAGGCTCTTTGAAAAGAACTGATTGAATTCACAGAGAAATAGCTACCAATGGCTACTAGTCTGGATGGCATCTAATAAAGTAAAGGTAAAGTTTTCCCTGACATTAAGTCTAGTCGTGTCCAATTCTGGAGGGTGGTGCTCATCTCCATTTCTAAGCTAAAGAGCTGGCATTGTCCATAGAAACCTTCAAGGTCATGTGGCCAGCATGACTGCATGGAGTGCTGTTACTTTCCTGCAGAAGCGGTACCTATTGATCTACTCACATTTGCATGTTTTTGAACTGCCAGGTTGACAGAAGCTGGACCTAACAGCGAGAGTTCACATTGCTCCCTGGATTCAAACCACCAACCTGCTGCCTCCCCAGGGGGGCCATGGCATCTAGTACTTGAGGTAATGTAACTCTCAATGTTGTTTGCTGGGGAGCATGAGTAGAAAGGTGCTACTGCATCCGTGCCCTGCTTGCGGGCTTTGTATACATATTTGGTGAACCACTGCAGGAACAGAATATGTGCTTAGTCCTATCCAGCATGGGATCTTCATGTGATCATATTATTCTTAAACTTGCCAACTGGCCACTGAATACCAGCCACTGGGAAATAACAGCAAGGATATGCTACTTGGCTCATGTCCTGCTTGAGGACGTTTCATGGGCACATAGTTGGGTACTGTCCTTCATTTGATTCAGCTGGGTTCCTTTTATGATAGATATACAATTATGTCTAGCTTATTTTATTTGCGGGAGACTTCTACTTTTTTTGCCCAAAGCTCCAGATGGCATGTATAGTTTTATTCCACCCTGTTGTTTTCCCTAGGTAGTAGTCTGACTACATGAGGTTCACAAAGTTACAAGGATCGACGCAGTTCTATTAGTGCACCTAAACTTAGACACTGATTGCGAAAGGGATCCCAATAATGGGAACTGAAAGAGCATCTCATGTTATGATGTCTAATTATTCCCAGTGGAAGAATGGGTAATGTATGATGCTCCAGATATTTGCCCGATTGCAGTTTTTGTCAAGCCTCACTATTAAGCTATCTATCTGGAAGTGGAAGAAGACAACAGAATAGGAAGGACAAGAGACCTCTTCCAGAAAATTAGAAACATTGGAGGTAAATTTCAGGCAAAATTGGTATGATAAGAAACAAAGATGGCAGGGACCTAACAGAAGCTGAAGAGATCAAGGGAAGGTGGCGAGACTATACAGAAGATCTGTATAGGAAGGATAATAATATCGAGGATAGCTTTGACGATGTGGTGAATGAATTAGAACCAGACATCCTGAGGAGTGAGGTTGAATGGGCCTTAAGAAGCATTGCTAACAACAAGGCAGTAGGAGACAACGGGATCCCAGCTGAACTGTTTAAAATCTTAAAAGATGATGCTGTCAAGGTGATGCATGCCATATGCCAGCAAATATGGAAAACACAAGAATGGCCATCAGACTGGAAAAAATCAACTTATATCCCCATACCAAAAAAGGGAAACGCGAAAGACTGCTCAAACTTCTGTACAGTGGCCCTTATTTCTCATGCCAGTAAGGTAATGCTCAAGATCCCGCAAGGACGACTCCAGCAATACATGGAGCGAGAATTGCCAGATGTTCAAGCTGGGTTTAGAAAAGGTAGAGGAACGAGAGACCAAATTGCCAATATCCACTGGATAATGGAGAAAGGCAGGGAGTTTCAGAAAAACATCTACTTCTGCTTCATTCCTTTGACTGTGTGGATCATAATAAATTGTGGCAAGTTCTTGGTGGGATGGGCATACCAAGCCACCTTGTCTCTCTCCTGAGGAATCTGTACAAGGACCAAGTAGCAACAGTCAGAACTGACCACGGAACAACAGACTGGTTCAAGATTGGGAAGGGCGTACGGCAAGGCTGCATACTCTCACCCAACCTTTTAACTTGTATGCAGAACACATCATGCGATGTGCGGGGCTGGATGAATGCAAGCGGGGGTAAAAATTGCTGGAAGAAACATTAACAACCTTAGATATGCAGATGATACCACTTTGATGGCCGAAAGCGAGGAGGAGCTGAGGAGCCTTCTAATCAAGGTGAAAGAAGAAAGCGCAAAAGCCTGGGTTGCAGCTAAACATAAAAAAAAAACCAAGATTATGGCAACAAGAATGATTGACAACTGGAAAATAGAGGGAGAAAATGTGGAGGCCGTGACAGACTTTGTATTTCTAGGTGCAAAGATTACTGCAGATGCAGACTGTGGCCAGGAAATCAGAAGACGCTTACTTCTTGGGAGGAGAGCAATGTCCTATCTCGATAAAATAGTAAAGAGTAGAGACATCACACTGGCAACAAAGATCCGCATAGTCAAAGCCATGGTATTCCCTGTAGTCACCTACGGATGTGAGAGCTGGACCTTAGGGAAGGCCGAGCGAAGGAAGATAGATGCTTTTGAACTGTGGTGTTGGAGGAAAGTTCTGAGAGTGCCTTGGACTGCGAGAAGATCCAACCAGTCCATCCTCCAGGAAATAAAGCCCGACTGCTCATTGGAGGGAAGGATACTAGAGACAAAGTTGAAGTACTTTGGCCACATCATGAGGAGACAGCAAAGCCTAGATAAAACAATTATGCTTGGGAAAGTGGAAGGCAAAAGGAAGAGGGGCCGACCAAGGGCAAGATGGATGGATGGCATCCTTGAAGGGACTGGACTGACCTTGAAGGAGCTGGGGGTGGTGATGGCCGACAGGGAGCTCTGGCATGGGCAGGTCCATGAGGTCATGAAGAGTCGGAGACGACTGAATGAACAACAATCTGGACAAGGGTTGATGAAAACTGCAGCAGTCCAACAACATCTGGAGTGCCACACTTCGCATCGCTGTCTCATGCAAGCTGATTAGTGGTTTTGGTGGGTGTGATAAGGGCAATAATAATAATAATAATAATAATAATAATAACAACTTTATTTTTATACCCCTCCTCCATCTCCCCGAAGGGACTCGGGGTGGCTTACAAAGGGACAAGCCCAACAAAACAGGTTAAAATAAGCATAAAAAACCAAGCAATATGAAACATCAATGAACATAAAATCAAATAACATTATAAAAATAATTAAAAGCAATATCATGGCTGAGCAAATAAAGTGCTCAGCCATGCCATGATTCCACCCTCTTCCCGCCCCGCCAACTACCCTGATTCTTTAGCATCTTGAAAAACAGAGCTTTAATTAGGAGAAATGGAAGATTCTGGAAAACAAGTCTACCTCTAACCAGATTCAAAGTGAAGCAACAAACAAATGGTTGCATTGTTAGCCCGCTAAAAAGCCAAAGAGGCCAGTACATTCCAGAAAAGAAGCGGCCAGTGCATGGGAGTGGGAAAGAGACACACATTGCTGAGACCCAAATTGAAAATGTGCAACAGCAATGTCTTGTCAACACTTCTGTACAGAGCACAGGCATGACAGCTAAAACAGACAGAAGAGAAGATGCTTTTGACAGCCAGCGTGCACAAATAATTCTTTTAGAGTCAGATGGCAGCAACAAGTTAATGACTAGAAGATATACTTGACAACCAAACATCCATCTGCATACAGCACCATCTGGCAGGGATGACTCTGGCTTCTACGCATTCGACACAGCTCTGATCTTCGAAGACTAGCTAAACAAGTGGCCAAACAGTATCTTTAACAATCAAAAGAACGGAAGAACTGCTGGATCAAACTATAAGAAAGCCTACCGTCAGGGTCTTAGAATTAATGGATACTGAAAACCTGAAACATATCCAGAGAATGATGACCAAAATAACAAAAGATCTGGAAGCAAAGCCGTAGTAGGAATGGCTAGGTAGCTGGGTGTGTTTAGCTTGAAGAAGAGATGGTTAAGAGGGGACATGATAGCTATGCTTAAATACTTGAAAGGATGTAATACTGAGGAGGGAGCTGGATTTCTTCTGTTCTACGGACTAGGACATGGAGTAGTGGATTTGAACTATAAGAAGAGATTCCCCATAAACATTAGGAAAAACCTGTGGTGAAAGTTATTTGACAATGCAATATGCTACCTCAAAGTACGAGGGATATCCGGAAAGTAAGGTTACAAGATTTTTTTAAAATACAAAGAATGGCTATATTTTGATAAAATTTACATGGATTATAGCACAGGTATTACATTATTTTTCCATATAATCACCATTCAGTTCAATACATTTTGTCATCCGTGCAATGAGTTTTTTGATGCCTGTGTCATAGAAGTCTCCCACCACCTTTTTCAGCCAGTTCGTCACTTTGAATTTTGTCTCATCGTCGGAAAAGTGTTTTCCACCAAGGTGTTTCTTCAATTTAGTGATAGTCACTGGGTGTGAGATTGGGACTGTGAAAGGGGTAGCTTAAAACATCCTAACCAAATGAAGTCAACAACTCTTGTGTTACATGAGCAGTGTGCAGACACGCATTGTCATGAAGGCGACAGACACCCGCCGTCAGCATCCCACAACATTTGTTTTGGATGGCTCTGCAAAGTTTCTCCGTGGTCTCACAATAGCTTGCAGCATTGTTTCATCTCTTTCCAAAAAATCTACGAGCAGAGCCCCTTTTCTGTCCCAAATCACTGATGCCACGATTTTTCTCGTGATGAATTCCAGTAGAGTTCATGCCTTTAGGATTTAGGTAGCACATTACAGCGTGAACTTCATACTTGGCGAGAAACTGAATGAGGACACTGATCTCTAACCTTCACCACAATGCCAGTTGATGAACTACTGAAGACTGGCAGTGCTCGTTCACTTCTGCTGGTTTCCCACTACACGGCAGTGATACCAACTTCCCCCACGAAAGTTCCCCTATGTGCCTTGTAACCTTACTTTCTGGATTATTTATTTATTTATTTAGCACATTTCTACCCCACCCTTCTCAACCCCCGAAGGGGGACTCAGGGCAGCTTACAAAAGGCACAATTCAATGCCAACAACAGACAATAAGATAAAACATGTATCAACAGCAATTATAAAACAATTAAACATAGTACAAGGGATAACCCTTGTACTATGGAGTTTCTTTTGGGAATTTTTAAATAGAAGCTAGATGGTTGTCTGTCAGGAGTGCTTTAATTGTGTCTTCCTGCATGGCAAGGGGTTAGACTGGATGGTCCTTGTGGTCTTTCCCAATTCTATAATTCTATGAGAATCATAGCAGTCTCCTGCTTATGTCCCTTAGCATTATGCTATCCAAACTTGATATTTTAGGTTGTCTCTTCTTAGAGAGACAAGAGTCATATATCAAAAAACAAGTCACATCTTATAACTATGGCACGTTACAGTAAACAAACTACAGATGGAAAGTTTATAGTTTAGCTCATCCTGCTAAACCATGCCTCATCCAGGCAGTAACCATTGGAATAATGACTTATTGTATCCAAATGTGTGGGCAAGCTGAGTAATAAAAAGCACTGGTATCAATTCAACATGGAAGCACTTATAAAACTGTTAATATGGTGGCAAGCTAGCACAATTTTGGGAGAGAGGAGCTCATAACTTACATGGAAATGATTTTTACTCAGTAAGGTACTCCGTACACTGTTCTGTTTATGAGGTAGTCAAGGGTTTCCAACTCTACAAGGGAATGCATTTATCCTTTAAGGTTGCTAATACATTACAGAACTGTTTCAAATTAAGGGAGGCTAAGGCTTAATTAGCCAGCGGAGCCCCTGGTGGCTCAGTAGCTGAGCTGCTGAGCTTGTTGACCAAAAGGTCACAGGTTCGAATCCGGGGAGCGGTGTGAGCTTCCACTGACAGCCCTAGATTCTGCCAACCTAGCAGTTTGAAAAGATGCAAATGTGAGTAGATCAATAGGTACTCCTCCGGCGGGAAGGTAACGGCGCTCCATGCAGTCATGCCAGCCATATGATCTTGGAGGTGTCTATGGACAACGCCGGCTCTTCAGCTTAGAAATGGAGATGAGCACCACATCCCACAGTCGGTCATGACTGGACTTAATGTCAGGGGAAAACCTTTACCTTTTAAAAGGCTTAATCAGTTAGGAAGGCTGGTGCCATATAACCTTCTGGTTTGCCCTACGCATGACCACCGAGTTACAGTTTTGCCCCCGAGGCACACCGTTAATGGCTTCTCCCTGAAATAAATGCCATGAAACAGTACCTTCTGGTAACAATATTTTCACGTAACCCAACTCATTGGCCATAGAAGTTCTCAAGGGCTAATGGACTTAGTGCCTTTTCCTAGAAACCAGGAAGACTATTAACAACATTGTGCTTTGCCTCTTGCCAGGTGCAGCACATGTTAGTGGAGGCAGCCATAGTAACAATAAGAGTATAATTTTTAGGCCTCTTCACAGCAAAAATATGAAGTAATCTGCCCTCGACAAGGATAAAATTCAATTTGATAGCTGATGACACACAAGCTGCATAGCACAGCTTCACACCTGTAAGTGCAAGATCATTGCAGATAATCAACAGAATTTCCCCGGAATTATCGAACGACACTGAACACTTCTGTTGTGTGTGAAATTTGAATCATCCTTTCTGTGAATGCTGTCATAAACACAATCTTAACTGGTAGCATTAAGAGTATGAAACAGACACACACCTTTTGCTTGAGCTCTTTCACAGCCGAGTCTCTATCCATGCATGCTTGCCGGAAGGCTTCATAGGCCTTATTAAGCTGATCTGCAATATTTTTATCCATACTTCCCAGCAATGTCTCATCACTGAAGAAATTGCAAATGCAGCAGATAGAATCAAATTACTGAAAAAGGAGGAAGACGTTCAGGTTACAATGCAGCTATTTGGTCATTCCTAACTAGAACCAATTTTCCCAATCTACAGGCAGACAATAAGTGCTTTCCAGATGTTTTGCAGTACATTTGCCTTAATCAATGACCATTAACTGTGTCAACTGACATTAATGAGACAAAACATTCAGAAAGGGCATGGGGCATTATCCCTGCCTTAAATAGCCTATGATGCAAGGCTATGGTGACTGCAAACTCAGTATGCTTACACTTGTACTTTAAAGTTATGCCAAAGAGGAATTAATTTAGAAGCCCTAAGCCTCACTGCACGTTTACATTTAGACTATAGACTAAGTTGAATTTACATTCCACTGAAGTCAGTGGACAAGTTAGTAACCAGTGTTAAAGGGGATTAAGGTTAATTTAGTCCAAATCCAGTCCATTGTATACCATCCCATTAGGAACACACGGACACAGGATCTTCAGACTTGATGTTATGCAGTCAGTATATATGAACTAAGATTATTAATAATTTTTTTTAGAAAAACTACTAGATTGTAATGATTTCAGCAACTGAGTTTAATTCATCAACCCATTTGCATATTACAAAAACCACTGTTGAGATACCTCTTTGAAATAATGAAGTGAGATAATTTACAATTTAGACCTGTTACTCCTATTACAAGGAAAAACAAACTTTTCACACACACACACACACACAACACTGGAATCAAAAGTGTTAAAAATACAAAGCACTCAAGAGTGGCCTCTTTTATCAGTTAACTAGAGCTGGTATTGTTGTTGTTATTGTTATTATTTACATCCCACACTTTCCTCAGTTCAAGCCTGCAGTAAGGTCTAGGAAGGGAGGAGGTTGCTGAGCTTGCAGCAGCTACTGAAGAAGCAGGAGAAGAGAGGTCCTATGTTCTCTGCAATACCTGTGAGAAAGGTGGGATAGAGAGAAGGGTCTCTCTCCCCCAAAGACATCAAAACACAGGCAGGCCCATTTAAGATCCTTCAAATACCTTATAACTGAGCCATATAAGGCTTTGTAGGTACAGTAGAGTCTGTTTATCCAACCTTCACTTGTCCAACGTTCTGTATTATCCAACGCAGTCTACCTCCAGCCTGGATCCGTAGCTGTTCCAATACAGTGTGATGTTTTGGTGCTAAATTCATAATTACAGTAATTACTGCATAATATGTGTACTGAACTGCTTTTTCTGTCAATTTGTTGTAAAACATGATGTTTTGGTGCTTAATTTGTAAAATCATAATGTAATTTGACGTTTATTAGGCTTTTCCTAAATCCCTCCTTATTATCCAACAGTTTTGCTTATCCAACGTTCTGCTGTCCCCTTTGTGTTGAATAAGCAAGACTCTACTGTATTTTGAATTGTGTCCAGGACTACACTGGCAGTCAAGTGGGCCTATTGCATATCCTCTGCTGTCATCTCTGGTTAACAATTGAGCTGCAATTTTTTGGACCAACTGTTGTTTCCAAAGGTTCTTCAAAGGTAGTGCCACATAGAAGGTTTTACAGTAACCCAAATGGGATGTAACTAAGATATGTGCCAGTGTGGCAAGGGCTGGCTTCTCAATGAATGGGCACATATGATACAAAGCCTTAATTGTACAAATGAATTTCTGGATATAGCCAAAACCTGAATTCCCAGGCCCATAACTGAATTTAGGAGTACATCCAAGCTGTGGACCTGTGTTTTTAAGGGAAGTGAAAACCCATCCAGCACAAGCTGAATTCCTCTTCATTGATCCTCAGCCCTTTTATTGTCTACCTCAACACTTTTGATGCCAGTTTTTCCAGCCCTGCCTACTTGATTGTTGCACTTTCCTTGTGCTCCTTTCAGAATGTATTGCACTCAGTGAGCCTGTACCTCAGCTATGTTCTTTCACCTCTAGGAAGGTGCAAAACCACTGTAAAACAGTCCCATCCCAACAAGCTGGCCCAGAATGATATAATGGCTTATGGGATCACAAGCTGTTGAAAAGTCCAGTAGAACCAGCAGGTACATGTCCTCCTGTGCATTGTCTTTTAGGTTACCCATCACAACAACCAAAGTCATCTCTGTCCCTGCATCAGGTTGAAATGAATCTAGATTGTTAGTCTTATCCGGAAGTCTATAAAGCTGGAAAATGATAACATACCCAATACCTTGCCTAAAAATGGGATATTTGTGATTGGCAGATACAGTGGAATCCATGGTGGGCTTTTTTTAGCAATGGTTTTACAGCTGCTACTTTTAAGCATGCTAATATTGTGCCTTGTTTTGGCAAGTCATTGATCCCTCCCTCTATCCACTCAGCCTGAGTTTTTGTAGCAAAACATGAAGAGCAAGGATCCAACACAATTCTAGTTAATTCATCTACCAGTTAAACCTGCAAACAGCTTTCAGTTCTTGTAAAGATATACATTCAAGATGCAATTATCACAATAATTCCCTCAAATGTAAGAGACCTTCCAGTGCAATGGCTATTAATAAAAATTAATATATACTCAACGTTCTTTCCCCCCTCTTCAGTTCAAAACTTTGCCATTCTCCTCAGTCAGAGATTGAATGCTATACGCAAAACCAAATCCAATTATCTTTCCTCAGATCTAAAACCAAACAAACAACAACAGCTTCCAGAACATAATTAATTAAACGTGACAAATTTCTAATTTAAACAGAGTCAACTTTGGCACTAACAGTCTTTTGCTTTTCTATTTATCCTCAAGGGAAAACTATTATTATTATTTAAGGAGCCTTTAACCATTTCTGCAAGCTATAACAGCCCCCTGACACACTGAAGCAAGCAAATTCACTTCTGCGGGATTTATAAAGCTTAGTAATAAAGCAGGTTTACTCAGATGTAAAATTCACCAGGCGCAGTAAGTCTTCCTACCTAGTAAGGGTACCTCGGATTTTGAATTTAACAATCCAAGATACTCAGAAAGATTTGGGCTGCCACCTCAAAATCTCTTACCTTGACATTAACACAGCGTGGACTTACTTCTGAGTTGACATGCACAGAAACAATTTTACCTCTTTCCTGGCAATCCATTTTATATATATTGAAGTTACGAAGTATCTCCCCCCCCCTCTCTCTCTCATACACACACACACACACACACACACACATACACACACACACACACGGGCAAATAGATAGACACTGGTATCGTACAGGCTTGGATGGAGCCCCCGGTGATGCAGTTGGTTAAACTATTGTGCCGGCAGGACTGCTGACCGAAAGGTTGGTGGTTTGAATCCAGGGAGTGGGGTGAGTTCCCATCTGTCGGCTCCAGCTTCCCATGCGGGAACATGAGTGAAGCCTCCTATTGGATGATAAAATATCCTGGCGTCCCCTGGGCAATATTCTTGCAAACAGCCAATTCTCTCACACCAGAAGCAACTTGCAGTTTCTCAAGTCACTCCTGACATAAAAAATAGGCTTGGTTATGTTTCCAAGCAAAGCCTTGATTCTTAAAATCAATTCATATTAAATCTTAAATCTAGCCAATTGGCTTACTTCAGCATTTCCATAAATCAAATATGGGGAACTCATGCCTCTCCACAGCGGGAAACTAGTGTCTTTGAGTGTTGGACTACAACACTGATCCACAGTAATCCACTGGCTCATTTTGGGCATGTCACATTCTTAGGCAAAGACAACTGAACAAATCTTGCCAAGAAACCCCCTTATAGCGACCTGAAAGTGATGGCTTCACCGTTGGCTAGAAAGCATACAACAACAAATTCTCACTCCAGAAGTGAAACATAGAACACATCTATTTCACTCTCACAAGGAGCACAAGTACCACCAAGTTACATGGGAAAGGACCCACAAATAAATACAAAATATGAAATGAAAAAGGGATTTCCCAAAATTTGAAACCACAGTCCAAGAAAGTTAGGATGAGATCCTAAGGAGGGGGATGCCTATTTTTTATATTTATTTATTTGTTTACTATATTTCTATCCCACTCTTTCTCACCTCGTAGGAGACTCAGAGAGGCTTACAGCATTGTATTTGGATCCTACATGAATACAGCAATATTCAATTTTATCATTAATGGCCACTAAATTAAATAAGTGGCTTTCAGAAAGCATCTCTTATCACCATGTTTCACTGAACATGGGACAAGGGAGAAAGACTACATCCATCAACTAGACACCAGATCTAAAACTAGCCTTGACCTTCCATTTATCTAGCCCAGGGGTCCTCAAACTAAGGCCCGAGGGCCAAATACGGCCCTCCAAGGTCATTTACCCGGCCCTCGCTCAGGGTCAACCTAAGTCTAAACGATTTGAAAGCACACAATACCACCAACAATCTTATCTCATCAGCCAAAAGCAGGCCCACACTTCCCATTAAAATACTAATAAATTTATATTTGTTAAAATTGTTTTTCATTTTAATTATTATATTGTTTTTAAGTATTTTTTGCACTACAAATAAGATATGTGCAGTGTGCATAGGAATTCATTCATGCTTTTTTCAAATTATAATCCGGCCCTCCAACAGTTTGAGGGGCTGTGACCTGGCCCTCTGTTTGAGGACCCCTGATCTAGCCCATGTCTCAAATGCAAGGCCCATGGGCTGAATCCTGCCCATCATGTCATTTTATGTGGCCCTCCAGATGCTGGACTACAACTTCTGTATTTTTCATAATTAGTCATCATGACTAGATGAAGCCCTCGGTGGCGCAATGGGTTAAACCGTTGTGCTGGCAGGACTGCTGAACGAAAGGTTGGTGGTTAGAATCTAGGGAGCAGGGTGAGTTTCCGTCTGTCAGCTCCAGCTTCCTGTGCAGGTACATGAGCAAAACCCCCCACAGGATGCTAAAACATCTGGGCATCCCTCTGGGCAATGTCCTTGCAGATGGTCAATTCTCTCTCACCAGAGACGACTTGCAGTTTCTCAAGTCACTCCTGACATGAAAAAAAATCATGACTAGAAATGATGGAAGTTTTGATTCAGTAACATCTGGAAGGCTGCAGTTGGTTCTGTTTAGTTGGGAGAGTTGGGTCTG